CATCGTGTATTCATTGGCCTGGTAATTTCTTGATGAAGCATGAGTCAGACATACAAACTTTGAATTGAAACACAGGAACCTGTTTTCAAGTAGCACATCTGATATGACGATAACAATTACGGTAATCAAAGAGGAACTGGATCAAATCGCTTAAAATGTACTGACCATTGGCTTTTTAATGCAACTGCTCCAATCTGGTGCATATCTATCGCTATCAATGACCTCGGAATTACCTTTTAAAAGACGTAACATAAACTCCCTACTTATTCAGAAACCTCTCTATATTTTGAGTACGTCGCTTTTGAAAAGCGACATACGCGCTTTATTGTGCAGCTTGATTAGCCAGAGGCACGAACTCGCACATCAGAACATATCAACTTCAGTCTTGGTGAATTGGGAGTGGATCACATAAAAGTAATAACTCATAACCAGGGGAAGCTCCCCTTTCCATCTTATATATTTTTTATAACCGAGGTAATGCACCATCCTACAGACCACTCTCAGCATTGCATACCATTTGAGGAACCTAAGGATATGATACGAAGGTTTGTTAAGATCTTTCCAATAAATTTAAATAGGTTCCGGCCTTCCGAGTCGCTTCCTTTAAAAATTAGGCTTCAAGTGATATCTAAGAGGATGCGTGTATTTGCGAAGCAACCGCGGGAAATCTTTGATAAATTGACGATTTAATTGTTGAACTTTGTTTAAAATGATGAAACTTTCAAACCTACTAAACGCTTGTAGCGGGTATTTATTAATGCTTTCCTTATTGCAAGTTTTCTTAAAAACGTTAGCGTCAACCTGCAACTAGCAATCTCGAAGAAGTCACTGACATACTCCTTCATTTGCATGAGCGCGTTTTCGAGATTTGGATGAGTTTGTTCTCAACCATTGTCAAATACATCTCATTATGTCCTGATTAAATAAGCGAACTGCTGGTATCTCCTGTTTACATTATCAGCCTTAAAAAGTCCTTTCCTGTTTTATCTCTCAAAAATAGTTAAGAAAAAGTATAGTTTCTCTATTTCATAGGTGTCTTTTTCTCTTTCAGTTTTTACTGTTAATCCAAACAACATAAGATAATTTACAAGATAATTTACTTGCTAAATTTACAAGTTTATCTTTGACTCAGGAGGTGATCAGTTCTCGGAAAAAATAGCCACAGACATCATAGGAGTAAACTTTATCTGAATAAAAGTGAATCATGGCTAGTTGACAACTGTTCACCGAATTAGCGGTGGCTAGTGGTGGATATTTACCGAGTCGCGAGGCGGTGAGGGAAATATCTACCGCTAACCACCGATAGCATAGACTAAAAAAGTGAGATAATATAGCACAAAATGAAGATTTTACTTCATTTATTCTTGCAACCATCACAATATTTTTCGGGTGCAAATCCCGAGTGAGTTGCGTTGAATAACAAGGGATATTCTGAGTTTGAGTGGTCAATCTGAGCGCTTCTTCAGCGATATCCACTTTGTTTAGTACACACTTTTACATGATATGGCTACATGGAAGTAAAAACGGCATGTGGCACAATAGCATACAGATACTTGAGATAGAATACAGATACAGATGCTTGAAATAAAATATCCTATCAACTTGAAACAATTTCATAGCAGCTGACTTCAGTGACAAACTTTCTCCATTTTAGTTTTTGCGTGAATCAGATTTTATCTACGGCTGATGAATATCAAAGAATCATGCTTTGTTGCTGATTTGATCAGCTTTGTTTTGCCGCGATACAAATTTCTTTTCACCTATAAGATTGCAAAGTTAAATGTTTTTACAATTATTGAAAGAAACGAATCAGTAAACAAAATCTTTTGGAGGTTGCGACGGTTGTTTAAACAGCCAAACGACGCTAAAAGAAATGAAAAATTCATGTGTAAAAAGCTGCCTGACCTGCGGGCATTCACTGCCCGCATTCCCATTTATGTTTGCAGGGGTATTAGTCATAAATATATTGATACTTGAAACAAGATAAACTTTGATCTCAAAACGTCCAAGCATCATGCTCCGATTGACGTTAATTTTATCTTACATGTGTGCAGTTCTTACGTCGGTGGAAGGTGGGTCATACATATATAATTGCCTTTACCTAAAACGTGACCGTTAAGTGAAAGCTTTCCTACTATGAAAGCGAAAATGATTCAAATAAGGAATGAAAGGCAAAATCAAAAATTGACGATGATGGAGAACATTCATATAGATTCAAATAAAGATTTGTCCAACTTAAAGGCCGACCTCTTCAGGCTGTAAGAAACGTGACTTTTATGAAGATGTCTTGTTTTTTTTCTTTTATTTTTTTTTAATTTTTGGAAGCAGGAACCTGCGGTAACCGTCCACGCACACGAATAGTCGGAGGGCGAGAGGCCATAGTGAACTCCTGGCCATGGCAAGCTATGATTACAACTTCCAGAGGAGGACAATTTTGTGGGGGATCATTAGTTCATCCGAACTGGGTCTTGACTGCTGCACATTGTGTGAAATCACGGAAACCAGAGACAACTCGTGTCAGGTGATAACATTTCGCAACTGTGACCAGTTGCCATATAGCCATGGAGTCGTTTCATCTGTCATAGCCGTTACAAACAGCCGTTTTATCTGTCCTAATTTTTGCAAAATATTGTTCATGCTGCTGAATACATAAAATCATAAAACGCGGGAAGAAAGGCCGATTAAACTAAAAAAAAAAACAACTATTTCTCATCCCCGTCTTGGAGCTATCTTCATTATTAAATTGTAGGCCAGAAAAATATTCGCCCCACCCGTGAGAAAGGATGATGATTCTTCTCTTTTGTGTTCGCTACTTATAGGGGGTAGGAATCAAAGGAAAACAATGAAAAGTAAAAAAAAAAGAAAAAAAAAAAACAAGAATTAACTTAACGTGTCCTTAGACTATGCAAATAATGTATGTTCAATTAGCGAAATGTGAAATAATAGCTTTTCCTCCTTCCAGTTACATCAAGGGAATATTCTCTTAGTTACATTCATAAACCAATGGATAACAAATAGTTGAGTTTGTCGTTTGCAGAATGGGAGCCCACTCAAAATACAAAAAAGTTGGAACGGAACAAGACATCGATGTGGAAGAAATCATAGTCCACTCTAGCTATAACAAGCCCACAAAGGAAAGCAACGATATCGCTTTATTAAAACTCAAAAAGCCTGCGAAGCTTGGAAAAGGTGTAGGCCTCGTGTGTATGCCAGACCCTGGACTTCCTTTGCCGGTCGATGACGTAAACAGAAAGTGCTGGATAACCGGCTGGGGGCGTTTGTCCGATGGCGGACAATCAGCAACAAACCTAATGCAAGCCGACCTACCTCTCTACTCACACGATCGTTGTAAAGGGATGCTTCATGGCTTTGACGAATCAATGTTGTGTGCTGGTTTTGACGAAGGCGGAGTTGATGCATGCCAAGGAGACAGCGGTGGCCCGCTGGTCTGCGAATACAACGGCAAGTGGTATTTAGAGGGTGCCACAAGCTGGGGATATGGGTGTGCTCGTCCTGGTTATCCTGGAGTATATGCTAAAGTACGTCATTTGATGTCATGGGTACACGATCAGACCCAGGGTGAAGTCATGCGTAAGTCTATTGGCTTATCAATCAATTGTAGCTTTATAATCTCTTGAGTGAGAAAAAAAATAAGATCTTTTATTTAAACACGTTGAGAATGAAAGCATCACATGCTTGAGGGGTCGTGTATATCTGGCCGATACCTAATTTATCTACAAGCAAAAGTGGATTCAATAAAAAAAATGAATAAACAAATTTAGATATAAATATATGACAATGTAAAGTGTATCTTTGTAATCTAAGATAAGTTAAAATTGAAAATCATCAATTAAAAATTAAAAAATTAAAAGTCGGGTATTTTTTTCGCTACCGACTGTGTGAATGAGCTGGTAAATCTGATTTCCCTTAATGTGGGATCAGATTTTACCTTTTTATAAAATTACATAGAACTTAAAGAGTCGTTTAAATAGTCGGAGACAAAGTTTGACAAAACAGCGCTTCTATAACAAATAGAATTTTTCATAGAATCGGTGGAAAATTGCGGAATAACGGCCTTATTATGTCTTCTTAGGTTATACAGACTTTTTCGCCATACATCTAAATCTCAAACCATTGAGGGTTTACATTATCACTATGTTGTGAAATAGTTTAATGTGTAACTCTCTATAGCCATGAGGAAAGGCTACTTTGTCCATCCACTCCGCTTAACAAAACACTTTTTTTATTGTTATTATTTTTGTCTTCTTTCTCGATCAAAGCTTCCAATTTTCACGAGAAGATAATTTGTCAGGACGAGAGAGAGAAAATTAGCTGCAGTGGAAGGAAAATAAAAGTACATTCCGCTTACTACGGAAGAACAAAGTTTTATTTATGCGGAATGGGGCTTAATACAAATTGCAAAGCATCTGGGTCCCAAGGAAAGGTAAATTAAGTGAAAAAAATTGATATCTCTGCAACAAATTAATGTATACCTACCTACACCTTGATCATATGCATTCTTTAAGTCGTGAAGTTAATCAAATTGAGGAAAAAGTACAGTTAGCAATAATGCATCTCGAATAACAATAATAATGATGATAATAATAAAGATAATTGCGGTAATCAATATTTAATTATTTTTGGCATAAATAAAGGAAGGATGAAGTGCGATGCTAAACTTTATCAATACCAAGTGGTCATTGGTCATCTGAATAGTTCCTTTCCTTGTCTTAGACGGTTGGGAAGGTTGGGAAGGTTGGGGGTAAAGGGTTCTTGAGAGTGATGGTGCAAGTGGTTTCGTCTTGTTATCTTTTTTGCTTTGTTTGGTTGTCTTTGTCTATTGTGTTTATTGTAAGCTTAAAGTGGGAAATAGATTAGAATATGAAAAGCCAATGTTTTTTTTATTTTTTTCTCGTTCTAAGATCACTCGAGCTTGCGATGAAAAGGAGCACTGTAATCTTTACGCTTCCAACGATGTATTTGGAAATCCATGTCCAGTGATTTCATCAAAGTACATTTACATCAAATACTCTTGTGAATAAAATTTGGGTAAGAATGGATAGTCCACAACCTGTAAATAAGATTCTTAAATATCTATGATGAAATTAGCTGAACAGCCATCCGTAGCAGCAAAATGGCCTAAATTTAACTATCAGTCTTAAAAGCCGTCATCTTACCAATTGAGACTGTCATCAGTCAGTATGCCAAACCATCACTTCGTAAGTCTGTCGTTCCTTCAGTCAGTCAATCATTTTTATTCAAAGGGTTCTTTTTCAATCTATATTTTTGATTTCTTTCAATCAGTGACTGTTTTTAAATACTGATCACCTCAAATATTAAAGGTCTAATGATAACTTTCCATATTTAACACCCAAGAGAAGTTGCTTTTTGTAATGATTTGCTGAGCTTAACATTTTCAAAGAGAAATGAATGAAAGGCGATGTTTATAAAAGCCAGTCGTCAATTTACTTTTTGCAAGCAACGTTAGATATATTTTATGCGTTACATTCTTTGTTGAATTTTCAGGCCACAATACGCAAGAGGATCGCCATGGAAAGCAAGAAAAAGAAAATGGAATTAAGAGCTAAAATTTAGCATTAAAAATTAAAAATAATTATGCCGTGTCTTCCTCCTTTTTCGGGTAACATTTGCGTTTAACTGTTGTACCGCTGAGACAGATTATCCACTGGCGTTGCTTTGTAACATACTATGTGTCCAAACCATATAACTGGCACATTATCGATCAGACACATAAATTCTAGCTTCTGTTTTGTACATCCGAAGCCCGCTTTAATAGCATGTAGATAAATTTAATTAGCGTCTCTCGAAACACGGAAAAACATCGATCGGCAGAACGTTAGCTTCCCTGTGACTAATCTACTTTTTAAACTTCCATCTAAGTAGAAAGTTTTATCTAAATCAGCTGTTGAAACAAACGCAGCATCGACTAGGACCGTTAGTAGATACTCGCATAAGAATTGTGTTAATATATTTCTAGTGCCTTTGTCCTATCTGCAAATTCGTGCTAAATTGACAAGGCAATCCAGCGGTTAAGTCCCTCATATGAGATTGCCTAGGTTCCTTAGGTTCTCTGCTTATCAGTATTAGCTTCCTCCCAGGAAACCAAGAAGAGTACGCCTGAATTCACTCCTACCAGGTACTATACATTAATTTGCACGGTGCACGTTTTTTCCTGGCTAAAAGCGGCCCTGCTCTCAGCCTATGGTTTTCTAAAGCGCTTTATATCAGGCTCTCGTCAGTGCATGTAATGCGATGATCCATGTATTCAAATGAATTAAAACGCCTCGCAGGATTGACCTTTGCAAGAAGGGCCTTTTTACAAAGCACGACAACAACAACACAACGAAAAGCATTACTATGAGGAAAATTATCATTTTTCGAGGCTTGATCTACATCACCAGGCTAAAGCCACGTTTCTGTTAAAGCCATGACATCAATTTTTGTTCTCGATCGCAAACTCATTAAGGACAGAAGGTTTGTTTTTCAGTGATAGATCTCGAGTTTAATAAACCGAATTCAACGGAATTCTCTGGATGAACAATGAAACTAGAGGAAGACAAGGAAAGAAGATCAAATAGCTGTTTTAGTATGAGTTTTCACTGAAAGAATGAACTAACAACAAATGGACAAAATATAATGTTTAAGAGGAGTCATAACATGTAAAGTAAAAGAAAGCAGAGCGCAGATATACAATAGAGGTAAACGCTAGTAGAAATTAGGACGAGCCAAGCAGCTGTAGGCCTGACAAGAAAATTTAAAGGACGCAAGGAACAAACACAGAGGCGAAGTTTGTCCATTAATAGACTGCGAAAGGGTGAGGATGAAGTATGCAGGGTAAGTATGATAGCCCCTTGTAAAGATTGAGGAAACTCGAGAACATAAGTAATACATTAACAACAACTCATAAACTACAGTTTTACACTTTATTTCACTGATTTATCATGAGCAACGTAAGGCATCAAAAATTACAGAAATATGAATGTATTCTGACTTCAGTAAAATTGTATCCACGTTTGAATCAAGCTGCAAAGTTTGAAATAAAAATTTGACAGATTCAGTGTCAATGGCAGATACAAGAAGGGCAAAGCAGTTTTATTGTAACATGGATACGAAGAGGCGACGGAAAAGTAATTAACATTCATCACACTTCTTTCAATCTAAATTTTAGCAATGATTCTCCAGATTCTGGAAACGATCGATATTTACCTGAAACAATGATGACTTATTTACGGAGCCATTTTTTGTTAGTCCCAAACCGATATCAATCGGGGTGTTCAATTGGTTTAATTTCAGCTTAATCTGATTCAAAATAACAACCACCAAAACTACAAAATTAACATCAAAAAGAGCTGCTGGCCTTACAACGAATAGAATCATTGAATTCTACAGATATTTCATACTTACAACACCAGCCACAAGACTTGGCACAATATTTCTTTGTCCAATCGTGATGGTACGTGCAGTAATCTGGATAGCTTG